GTCAGGAGAGTCAGGAGGAGGCACAACCCGACCATCGACAATCTGGGATAGAACCCCAGTCCCTTCGATATTCAACCTCGGATTTAGCACGGACAGTTGATTCACTGCAGACTCAAAGCATCGGCCAAAGCGCCAACACAGTCCGACTCCAGAAGTTGAATACGAGCGATGAAGTCGAAACGCGTGCGTAAGTCGATCATCCCTTCAGGATTGTCCTTCGCGGGCAGCATAACAGCCTTCAGGTCTTTGACCTCTCTCGACAGCCATTGGTTGTCACTCTCCAACCGCTCCTTGTCAAGCTGAAGGCAGTCTTTTTCCTCAAGAGCTCTGTCGGCCCTTTCCTTCTCCCCCGAAAACATGTCAGACTGCTCACGAAACATTTCCTCGGAGCATTCAAGAGCAGCCTTCAGTTTGAGGGATTTGGCCACAAGAGCCGCCTTCTCCGACTCCAGCTCCTTGACCCGATCCAAGGAGTCTGACCCTTCTCCCGCAAGGATAACTGCCATCTCGTCCATTTTCACCACCCCGACCATGCTGGCAGCGAGGTGTTTCCTCCGACCTTCCTTGTCTAGCCGCCTGATGATATCGGCCTCGTTGTCAGATACGGACAAGGGAAACCCCTCGAAGAAATCCTTTTCCACAAAGCAGGGTGGAAGGCTGAAGGCCCGGGTACCTGCCCCTCCATCGGTCACTTCGACCCAATCATCTGGTCGACTCTGTTTCTTGCTAATCAAAGCAGATTGGCGCTTGGTGCCTAGGGAACCCGAGGACCCGCCAGATCCTTCCCTGCCCGACTCAGGGGTCGGACCCATTCGTGTGGTTTATTGCGGCTTCACCAACTTCTTGCTGATCTTCTTGTCTTGAGTCAGCTTTAGCAACCTCTCGCGACGCTCAGCCATGTGACCTGCAAAGGAAGTGTACTTGGGTTAGGCACATTAAAGAAAACAAATAAAGAAGAATATCAATAGAGCAAAGCAAGAAACCTAAGAGCTCTAAGGCCTGCCCGTAAGACTGGCATTCGACGAGCGCCTTGGTATTAATCGTACGGGCCTCGAACATCGGCTCGCCATCCTCATCAAGAACGTTGTCCCCTTCCCTCGTAACCCACCGAGCAGGGAAGAAACCATCGATAAACTTGTTCAGGACGCCATAAGCTTCCTCGTTCTCCACGCTCATACCACCAGCAAGAGTGTGGTAGTATCCAGGTCCATGGTCGTAATGGCCCGAACACCAGTGGATGGGAAACTTTGAGACTTTCCCAATCTCGGGATTACCCCCAGCATCCAAACACGGCTCCCCGTCCTCGTCCACCACAGCGGCCGGTTCGAACAGTGAATCCACGACTGTCTGGGCAGACGATTGCAGAATCTACCACTTATCCTTGAAATCTCGCACATAATCCATATACATCCTAAACAGTCTCTTCGACTGCTTAAGGGACACCCAACTGTGCTTCCCTCCTTGGGACTACCGTTGCAGGTGAAAAACCCTGAAGAACAGGGGAATCGTTGCCCCGATCCTCAGGAAGCGGCAGGTGAGTTCGAATGCCCAGATAAAGGCAATCGCGTTAGGATGAATCTAGGAGGGGCAGGTTCAAGTGATTGAACACTTCCACATGGAAGTCGTTGAAAGGTAACCGGAGCCCGAGATCTTTAAATACGATCTCGTACATGGGAAAGGCATCTTGTGTAAACTCCGAGCAGATGCGGGCATCCCTCGACGGCCTCATGATCTTAAAGTTTCTCCGAAATCCCTCCTGGCCGCCTTCATACTCGACGACAGTGTAAAATTGTCTACCGGTATAGCTATAGATCGAAGCTATTCCCCGAGGTTCCGCACCAACCCAGTCCAGAGTAAGGTCGTCGACGGTGTCGACCAGATTCATGCTTTCGTCGACAATGCTTATTTCCTCGGTATCGTTACGCTCTGAGGACTCAGGAATATCGGCCATTTACCTGCAAAGTACAGGAAACCGGTGAATTCGACAGCAAATCCGATTTTCCACTACACAGACGGGGAGAAGTAAGCAACACTCAGACCGAGTCAACGACCATTCGTACGAAAGACGGGGAACACGTGGACCTTGGCCAAACACCGACCTTAACGGCAGACGTATATCAATCATAAATGTCACGAGCATAGCATGAATATCACGAGAAAATGATGAATCTCACGACCAAGTTCATAACATTGCTAGCCAGATACAAGAATACCACGGGGAAAACTAGCCTACATACTAATGAAAGGAGGAATCCTCCGACCAAGTTCATAAATCTAAGCCAAACACATGAATATCACAGGCACAATCGTAAAACGTATGCCTAAACCTATGAATGCCACGGGCGTGATCATGAATCAGACGCCTAGAGTGCTTGAATTTCTCGAGCACAATCCCCAGACACGAAATTCTACCACTAAACACCATCAAAATCTAACTACAACATGAGATATCAAAGAAAAAGAACACTTACTTGGAAAAAGAGTGAGGAGCGACGGTTGTGGAGATGAACACACGGCAAACGGCGCGGCGGTCTCAACAACACTAGGAAAACACGTGATGTTGAAGGCAGAGAAAATATGAGAACGTGAAGATGTGAAAACAAGCTATGGGCCCTGAAGCCCTATTTATAAAGATGACGTGGAATATGGAACGTCGCATCGGGGAATCACAAACCGCCTTCATCCTCGATGCCTACTCGCGTAGATAATAATGACCCTACTCCCTAGGCCGCCATTGTGGTTTCCAAGAGCCACACCACGTGTCTGACTAGTGTATCACCACCTCCCCGCGAGTGCTCCTCCAACACTCCTCGACCGCTGCACGGAGCAAATCACGAACCGGACGACGTCTCACGTCCACGATTGAAAACTCCTGTGTCATGCAAGCGAGTCTCACGAAGGGGAGAACTTGAATCAAGTCATAACTCCCGTACCAGGAACAACGACTTGGGGGGATCTTGTTCTGGACTGGGCTTGTCCTTGGCCCAACCACCAGTGAGGCCCAATCCAAACTTGCCAACCTACTGCGCTGAGCAGTATATCCACCGAGCACACCCCGATCATAGGTATTTGATCGGTCATGATTGCATCCCGCCGGTGCTCGCGAAGAATGTCCCCTCCGAGCACGCGCTCCCTCCGAGCACCCTCCTCGGAGGGCTGACTTTCAACCTCTCCAGATTGCGCGGAGTCTTCATGGTCCCGAAAAGATCGCGTCTTTATCCTCCCTGTCTTGCGGATGGCGTCATTCAGGTAGAGGGTCATGCGCGGGTCCCCACTACTCACGTAGAACATGACAGTCTCTTTGTTGGACCTGTTTGATCAGCCCAATAAAGAGACATTGACCCAGTGCTGGGGGCTATAAATACCCTCTCTCATGAGAGGATCAGGTATTCATTCATTCACACCTACATTCATACTTGCTTGCTCATTTCGTCTCCTTCAAATTTAATCCGAAGCCAGCTGTGACGGTCCAACTCTGATGAGGTCAGTTATTAAAATAAAAAGTAAAAAAAATTATTTAAAAAAAATTAAAGTGATATTCATTCATTTTACACCAGAGAATAATTAATATTGTAATGTTAAATAAGAGACATCGGATGTAGTAGCACAGCTTCCCACATGTTACATATCAATTATTCGTCGAACCCTATTTAAAAATGATACAGATAACCTTAAAACTTTTTTAAAATAAAAACTGTGACATTTACCAAAAGAACATTTTATAAATAACAGTAGTTTATTTTTGTTTTAGAATAATTTAAAATTAAAAAACGTATTTTTGTTTTCAACAATTTTATCATTTTTTAACACTATTGGCTGAATGGAACGAGGTTTAAAAGTAAAAATTGTCAAACTCTATAAATAGTCTGTTGTTTGAACAAAGTCAAAAGTAGAGAAGAGACATGACTGCAGAGGGAGAAAAAAGAGGCTAGAAAGCAGTCAAACCAGTTTTGAGGTGTACACTTCAAATTCACCAGATCCAAGGACATTCATTAAAGAAAGAGAAAATAGTTGAAAAGAAAAAGAACAAAACTAATAATAATGCTTTAGCAAAAGTTGTTGTACACTAATACTATGTTTGGTTTGGCGTTTGCAGCCACGTTCTCTTGCTCACCGCAATTCGAAGAAACTAGAAAACGTAATTTTGAGAAACCCACAGCCAAACCAAACACGCTGTAAGATGTCCTTTTATGTCAAAACAGATGCAGTACTTGGTCAAAATGATTTCTTAATTACGTAATTATTTTTATGTTGACATGTATTTCATTTTTTACTACACTATTATCATAAAACTAAAATTGCCATCTTTTTATCAAAACAACCAAATTCTATGCTGCCATTTGGGTGCAACCAGAGGAAACAATCTAAGAGTTTCCAAACATACATATGATCTTAAAACTCAGTCGCAGATTCATGCAACTACCTATGTAATCATTTATGGTGTTTTTTCATGACCATGAAATTATTTTAGACTACAAAGATACATGCAATAGGAATTAATTTGGTTATCCTAGAAGCTACAAATATTATTTTTAGACTCGTGAAAAATATATCAAATTTCATGTCAACAGAAGCAAACTGGTAAAAATTAATATAGTAGTACTATAGTGCTACATAATTTACTCGCATGTTTAAATGCCACTATCAGCTTTGGAATCCTGACAAGACTCTATATATTTTCCAAAGCATCCCACAGCACCAAAAGAGTTCACAAGAACTCTGAAACTCAAACAGAAACCTAGGGACCAGAAAGGGAGTTTATTCACAGGGGACCATATTAGTCCAAAACATATCAATACATTGGTACTGTAATATACATACAGAGCAAGCACAGGTTTAGTAGTAGAAAGAAGGTAAAAACTAAACAGAAAACATGTCACTTCATTGATTTCTGGGTTGGGCTAAAACACAACATTACTGAAAAGTTACTGTACTCGTGATTGTGCAGATATACATCATGTGAGACCACATCTGTGTTTGGATGATGAGGAGAATAAGGTTCAAAACTGTCCCGCTCTTATATGTCTATCTAACCGATCTGCGTTTAGCGTCCCTGGAAGCTCTCTGAAGTCTTCGTTGAAGATAGAGTATGCACTGCATGCATAATAGTAGAGTTGAAAATATTTAAGAACTACACATCAATGTCCATGAAATAAATTTGATATCCAGTACTACCAATCATAGATAAAAATAAATGCAAGGGTAGGATCAAAATGCATAGTAACTAAGATTAGGAAGAAGTGTGTAACATGTAGAACAAACAATATTATCCAACTTAAAATATAAAATTATATTTACACACAGCGAAAAAACAACCACGTTAAAGTTGTAACTAACATTTAATCAAATTTTAATTACAAATTGTATAAGTTGGTAACAAATAACAAGTTAAAGCCACAACTCATAAAATATTAAGAACTTTTTATCACATATTATAAACTAAAATACCAAATGCAAGCGACTGAAGTTTATGGACAATAGCATGTCACCAATCAGACACAAAACAGAGGCTGACAACCATTGGATAACAAAACAAAACACAAACTAGCACCATGCTGACCACAAGCAGAGACACACCTCAGACAGGAAGCATTAAAGGGCTAAACCCCCCCACCTTCACCTGCAAGCCACAATTGGTAGCCAGCGTGGATCTTAGAGGGAACTGGGGTGGGCCGCAATCCACCCAGATCCCAAAATCAAATTAATACAGTATAGTATTATTATGTGACATATTTTAACAATTTACATCTCGGACAGTGGCAAGTTATGTTTTGAATGAGGGCAGGTTGTGAGTTCGACCATTAATTTTTGCAGTGTTTTTCTTCCTACAAAACAAGGATGCTAACCACTTGACCAAATTTATTCCATTGAATATTGTATATAAATAGTGAATTAAATTCATACATTTTTTTTAGTTGTTTCGACTCTCAAAAAATTATGTGAAGCTCTGCCACTTCCAGAAGCAGCAGAGATCAAAGTCTTCAAGAATAACCAAATAAGCAGTGGTGAAGGGTATAACCATAGCAGGATCATGAATGATATAATGTGTTTGTAGGACTTGAGGACTGGGGTCAAATGATTTTGGATGGGCTTGGGTTTATTTTTCACGTCGCACTACACTTTGGGACTAAATAGTCAGAACACAACAATTAATCTTTGGGTTATAGTTATACCTGGAGTCACCAGCTTTGCGCTTTCCAAGATTGAAGAGGATGAGACAAAAGCCAGTTGCAAGCATCTACATGAAGGTGGTAACAAACAATAAAAAAAACATAACATTTTAATGTATACAAGTATAAAAAGAAAAGTTCAAAAGGCTAGGTCTTATTGTTAGCTGGTTTAACTTAAAAGATTAGTAGAGTTAACAATAGTTATGCAGTAATTAATACAACGCCCTGAATTGCATGGTCCAGTATTACAAATCCTAGCTATGTGTCAACAAGCTGAGCAATAGACTACCCCTGCCCTGCCCACCCATAAAAAAACACAGAGCAAAAGTAAGGATGAAAAGAGACATACATACAAAGGTCCGAGATCCCATCTATGGGCAACAGGGGCCAGGATAAACCACATAGTTATGAGAATCCATGCCTTCAGACTCAGAGTGAAAATTAGCATCAAAAGGATATCTACCAATGGAGGATGAACATAGTTAAAAGATTGTTCATATGAATGGGTAATATTGTCATATATAATCTATAACCTATAACAATATATAATCTCTAACAATATATAAAGGCAAAACATGGTTCTGGTGTAGCCAATTTTTGTTCCAAATAATACCCTTTTCAGTTTTTGTTGTAAGCCTTAACTTCTCTCTCACTAATTGTTATATGGCAGTTTACATATCGCTTTCATTCCAATATTTTCTACCATTTTGTAAATAGTTTAAATTAAAATCAAAATTAAGCAAACAAAAAATACGTTTATATTTCCACGTGTGCACAATAAAAAAAAACGGACAGACGGGCATGAGTGCACCCATCTGGACGCTAGTTACTTATAATGAACGATCCACACATTTGAAATGACACTTTACTTCTCTCTCACTAACTGTTATATGGAAGTTTATATATCTCTTTTATTCCATTATTTTCGACCATTGTATAAATAATTTAAATTTAAATCAAAATTACGGCACACTAAAATACCGTTTATATTTTCACACGAGCGCACACTAAAAAACAGACAGACGGGCATATGAGTATCTATCTAGTCACTTATAATGAGAGATACACACATTTGAAATGACTTCTTGAATATTACATACAGATACCGAATAACTCTAATTCTAAAGTTTACATCAATTTTGTCCTCAACTCCTTATGCAAATAGATTAGGCAGACACAATATTCATACAAACATCTCATATGCTGAGCCAAATTGATATAACTTGGTGAATAATAAAAAATTTCAGATACCCAAGGTCCAAACTATAGAAGTGTCCAACTGAATACCATTTATGAAAGTCATACCTGGAAACTTCAACTTATCGTGAAGAAAAGAGTATAGCCTCTTTTTCCACCGACTTGACGACTGGGGAAGCTGAAACTTCTGCAGAAATAGAAACATGATATCAAGTGCCAAATTGACATTTTGATCACTTCATTTATGTTGTTTAACTAATTTTACCAAATCTTCATCGTCGTCATCGTTTTCGTGCCCATCCTTCACTGGTGGCTTTGGTTTGACCACAACAATCAAGCTATCTAAAATAATGCAATAAAACCACATCTTGTAAGAAAGCCATATCAGAGATAATTTTGCACTTTTAAGATCAGAAGTATACCTCCATCATTTAGTTGTATGTGCACATCATCTCCATTTCTAATATCACTTAACGCAGTTCCGCGTAGAATAAGACTCAAGTTGTCAATGGGTAAATGACCATTACTTGCAATTAATCTTCTCAAATCACGCACCTAATAGTAATTTAGAATAATTTAACACTCGGGATCATCAAACTAAGTAACTAATTAAAAGAACCAAATCAAACCCATAAAATATTTACCAAAACATAGCTATAAGCAGTATGAATGAACTACAAAGTCAAACTTGGTTGAGGCATTCATTCAGTATATACGATTTCAATTGAAACAAACTCTAGGTTAGTGAAATTATTGGTAATTATGTATGAATCTTACTTGATACTGTTTGATTTAACAATTTCTATAGAAAAACATAAAACCCTAGAAATTGGAAAATGGAATGTGCGGAAATTGGGAAACCTTGATGAAAGAGGGAACTCGAAGACGAGAGGGTGGAGCTGGACCGATAGTTTTGAGGATGATTTCTACCTTCTCCGATTCATCTTCCTCCACAGTGTCTCCCATTGTTGATTCTGATCCCACGCATACAAAACGATTGCAATTAAAATTTTCTCATATCCTTTTTTTTTTTTAATAAATAATACCATGGCTTTAAATTGTATATTTCGTGGTTGAAAATAGGTTTAGGCAATGCATTTCACATATCTTTTTAATTTGTCATGTTATATCAATTTTTTAAATTAAATATATATTTTGTATTGATTCATAGTATAAAAATATTTTATATTATCAATATATCTCTTTTCAAATTTACAATTCTCAAAAAATTCGATTCGTGTAATATACATAGTTAGTTATGTTATTTAAATTTGTGGTACATTCAACTGTAACAATTCATATATTATAATTAAGAAAATTATTAAGATAATAAGAAATAAATGATATAAAAAATTAAAATCCTATTAAGTTCTACGTGGGGCCATGCATAACTAGTCAATCATAATAGTCTGTTTTAATAGCTTGTATTTATTCGGGTAGGGTTTGGGCGACTTTAGGGAGAGAAAGTCATCATGACTTTGTCTCTATCTCTTTCCTATATCACTCTCACTCATTTATTTTTCCTCCAAATTTTTTACTTTCTCATTCCTAAAAAATAACTAAAGTTCTCAAAGTCATGCAAACTTAAAGTCACCTAATTCATTCCCTATTTATTCCTGGTTCATTGGTACGTTACATAATGCGAATTCTATGAGAATTATGTAACCATGGTTTAACAACTCATTTACATACTCTCGTAAAAAAATCATTTACATTCTCTTGAAAAGGAGTGGAAATAAGTTAAGTCGAGTTAGACTTCGTCAAGTTTGAGTCTGTCCAGTTAAAATTTTCAAAATTTAAGTTTGGCATGTAGTCTATCAAAGGTTTGTTTTTAAGTCTGGGTCTGACCTTTTCGAAAGGTTGATTGGCCTATTAGCCTACATAAAAGTTTATTTTATTTGAATATTTTCAAATAATCAATTCAACTAATGTTAAAATAGACTAATAAATTAAAAGATTAATTTGACTAGATGCTTATTTGCATTGACTTATTCAAGTTTACCTATTAGCATATATTTTGTGATACTATTTGTTTGATAAAACTTATGAAAACAACTTACGATTGATCATAAGATTTTTTCAACGTATTTTCATAAGTCTTTCTAGACATGTAAACTTTATTTTTGTATTTTAATTTAAAATACAAACACCATATAATAATAAAAATTATTCATATTTATTTAAATAGGTCGGTCTGATAGACTTAAAAGACTTTTTTTTGCTTGTAGCCTAGCCTTTTTAACTAAATAGGTTTATAAAAAAAGCCTGAGCCTTTTCTATTTAAAAAAAAAATCTAGTCTGATTTAGGCTTATATAGACTAGTCTGTAGGCCCCTGTTATTGGTCTGACTTATTTTCACCCCTAATCCTAAACATCATTTCATCTAACTAATTATTATTAACCCTAATTAAATATTATAATTAAAGCATAAATGATTATTAGGGTTATTGGAATTAATCAAATGCATGATATCAACCCATTTTTGCGCCAAAATAAATTCTCTTGGTTAACCGGTGTGTTTTGCAACAAATTCCTTGGCTTTTGGTTTTCCTTCACACAAAATCCAAGTCATTCATTGATTTATTTTTTACATTCTCAAAAATAGCCTCTTAATTCACCTATAAATCACACTTTATTCACCTCTAAAATCACCAACAATATTCCCAACGAATCCCTACTCAAATTATTCACAAACCTCTCCCGCAAATTCGCATAAGCCATCACCAAATTCACCCTATAATCTGACCCGACTACTCCTTCATCTTCAACAAAACAATCTAATCATCACCTTCAACTCTCAAGCCTCGATCTCCCTCATACAAACACCGACACATCGACCAAATTGCAATGCATTAACTGACACGCGCACAAGCAACAACACACTTAAACCCTACCACAACAATAACCAAAAACCACAGCAAATCCAAAAATGCGACCCACGTAAGAAGAAGACAAAACAAAGAAGTTCGAAGAGAGATAGAAGTAGAGAAGATCAAAGTGTACCTAATTTGTGTTGTCTCCATTTAATTTGTGGTTTAAATTTTTGTATTCTATCACTCATGTAATATGTAATGCCTCATAAATTAATTAGAATGAGGAATTTGGGAAAAAAATAGGAATGATCAGTAGAAGGAAAAGGAAAAGTAATATGAAGAAGAAAAGGCATAGTGATTGACAGATGTCTATAATTTCTCCCTATTTATTATATCTTCATGTTTTTGTGTTTAACATTCAGATTCTCTTCTGTTTCATTTTCGTGTCCTGGATATGTTTAGCTATTTTGTGTCTTTTTTATTTTTAATATCAAGATGACGAATTTTAGGTGTGAATGTTGTGTTTGAAGTGTTTCTATGAAAGGTTTTTTAGGGGAATGGGGTTGAGTTTTGTTGTTATTATTAGTTTGGCCCTTCTTAAGCCTTGAATGTTATTGCTACCTCTAAAAAATATCTAACACAATAAATTCGTCATCGAATATCTATTTATTCTAAGGAAGGGAAAGGAAAACATCGAAGAAAACCTATAAAGGAAAAGATCAGGGTCATGAGACTAAGAGAAGGGTACGGGAGTCAATTGCGCAAGGGGAAGGTATTAGGACCCCTCACGTCCGTTGTACTCAACAAGATCCACTCTTGTTCTTCTAATCAAAAGGTGTGTTATCTAAAGTTTAAACTTGCTAAAGGGAATACATGAATGAATTATTAATGAACAAAAATAATTTTTTTTATTATTGCGCTCGCCTCAGTTTTACAACCTCATGCCTACATATCTCGAAAGAATCAGAGCACCGTAGTTCTTCTAAAAAATAACAAAAAAAATTGCGTATAGATTGATTTTAAATGAAGAGACAATTTGTTATTTTTAGGAGAAGACTCGATTAATCGCCCACAAAGTATGAGAAATGGGGACAATGCACCAACATGAAGGAGGGTTTGGACACACCTCTAGTACTCAAGTGGAAAAGTATACATCTTTACAACCATGGAGATAGGGGAATGACATCTCGACTATAAATGACTCATGTCTAATCTTGAAAAAGGTTTTAAAGGGAAAGGTGCACGAGGGCACAAAAAAGGTTTGAATGAGGTTGAATGTTTTGTTAAGAGAATGCCTCAGATGGTCCTCCAAGATTGGAGGTATCTGAGTATTTCCCCTTTATTTATGAAAGTGTTAGAGTATGGTTAAATGGATTGACATTTGATTAAAGAAAACAAGTGTGAGAAAAAGGTCGATTGACAAAGTCAAGGTTTATTATGAAAGTGGTTAAAGTTAGAAAACCAATAAGGTTTTGAAAAAGATGAGAAGTTTTTAAAAATTGAAGAATGGGAGAAGACGAAGAGATTATCCTAAAGTATAAAGTAAAGGCTAAGATATGGAAGGTATGACTAAACAAGAAGCCAACATGACATAATAAAGTCAACATATAATTCCCATCCTTTGGATTAAAGCCACAAGCAAAGAATAAACCAAGAGTGTACCAAGCATCAGGTGAAAATAAATCACAAGCAGAAAGTGCATTAGATAAGCCCAAGGTGTTAGATAAATCAAAGGTATCAGATAAGGCTCAAAGCATCAGATGATCATCAAAATATCGAACAAGGTTCCATGCATCAGATGAAAAATCACCCGGATAGACAAAACCAAGATAACAAAGAAATAATCCAAAGGTCTCATATGAAACAAGAACTCAGGTCTAAATGGGTCAGAACCATGTATCAGAGCTAAATGAATAAATGAAATAAGAAATGGATGTTTAATTAATTAACTAATAGTTGATTAAATTAATCAATTATGTTAAAAAAAATTAATTAGCAAAGTTAACTAATTTTTAATAACAAAATCAACTAACTAAATCGACTTTTAATTAATTAACTAAAACAACAAAATGGTGCTAAAAGGAAGTGAGTACTTGAGACATCTTGAAATCTACACAAACCATAAACATGTTAGTAACACAAAAAGTGTAATAACACAGAAAATTTTCCTCTAATTACATGTAAGTAACCAAATTTCTCAATCAAAATCACCATACATGTATGAATGAAGTAGCAAAGCAAGAAACATGGATCAAATATGCAAAACATTCAATAGTGAATTAACAAAGATAGATGGTAAAAGGTAAATTGCAACCAAGAGCTTCATGAAAATGAGGCGTTGTGTGATTGATTTCGTGAACAAAGTCGTAACAGAATCACATTTTCTGATTCTGCGGGATTGGGAAACACTTTGTTTGGTGAGATCTGAGTGACTTGTACAAGGTTGAAAATGAATGGAAACGGTAGTCCGAGCACCAAACTTCTAATGTTCGATGGTAAGAACTAGAATCGCTGGATGGTTCAGATGTGCATGTTGTTCGGTGCTCAAGATGTTCTTGAGTTTGTTACCAGAGGTTACGTTATGATTACAACGGATGCGACGGAGGAACAGAGAGATGCGCGGGAGAGATAAAAGGAAGAAAGATCTGGAGACGTTGTTATACATCTATCAGTGTGTAGATGTGAACGTGTTTAAGAAAATATTTGATTCATTAATGGCGAAGATTGTGTGGGACATACTAGTTAGGTGCTACGATGGTGACACATTAGTGAAGAAGGTGAAGCTTCAGTTTCTATGAAAGCAGTATGAGAATCTCAACATGAAGGACAATGAGAAGGTATATGAGTACATCTCTAGAGTGATTCTGATCACTAATGAGATAAAAGCTTGTGGAAAAACCCTTTATGAATAAGTAATCATTGAGAATATATTGAGGTCTCTTACCCCTCAATTTGATTACATTATTGTAGCAATTGAAAATTCTAAAGATCTGGACACCATGAGAATAGAAGAGCTGCAAAGTAGTATAGAGGCGTAAGAGTTGCAGCTGACTGAAAGAACTTCTGAGAGAGAGGCTAAGCAGGCTCTGAAAGCTTCTTTTGTCAAGAAGGACCAGAAGAAGAAGAAACATGGCTGGTCTCAGAAGTCAGAAG